GGCAGAAATCACCACAGCACACAGACAGGCGTGTGAAAGCGACAGGGAGCAGATGCACAAAGGGCAAATAGGCAGACAAAGAAGGAAAGGCAAGGGAAGAGCAAAGTGAGGACAGTGCACCAATCAACCAGAACAAAATGCAGGCATAACCAAGTTAAAAGGCCAAGCAAACAAGAAAGAAAACAGGAGTCAAAAGAGGAAAATTAGATTAGTATTTCATATTCACAAATTAACAAAAGAGGGAAAAAAATCAGGATTGAAATTAAAGAAAAGATCAATAAGCTGGACAACCGATTTAGGGGGAAGAAATGTAAAGATAACCCGGAAAAGTTTGTGGGAAATCTTGTTGTTTTGTGTGTGTGATGCATCTAGGTTACACTTTCAAATGTGTCATTCATCACAGTGGAGCTTGTGAAAAACTGAACATGATTTTTTTTTTTTACGCAAAGTACTCACTTGTGTTTCTGATCCATGAAGAAAATCATTGAGTGCTTCTGGGTCACTGTACAACAAGAAAAATGTTATTTAGCTGGGTCTACATTACAGCCAACATCCAAACTTCAACACAGTTATGCCATTTTTGGTGTAACAACTTACCAAATTACATCTAGCAAGCACCTGCCATCTTCATCATCCATGTCAACTGTACAAAAAAAAAGTGCACAAACATTAAAATGTATACAAATCTGCTAAACATTACACAAACCTCAAAAGCAAATCTTCAAGCAAGTACTTCCTTTCAAGAGAAATGTGGGTGAGTCAATCTGTTATTTGAATCAAACCATGTACGTTAGTGAAAATAAAGTAGAACATCAGTCAGCATTATTAAAACGTTTATGAACTACACCATTTCAGACGCTATCAATTTCAATCTTAAAGAGAATAAATCACACTGTTGACATATGCAAATACTATTAAAAGCAGACAAAATGTGTGCCAGGTAAATCTTTCATCAGTGCGCGTACGTGCCCAAACCCCAACCCAAAAACACAAATAACGAAACATAACAGAAACAAGTGAGCAACCCTTGGTATTACGCATTCAGATATTTACGCATATTAATATATTAACCCATCATTACGGTATACTTTTCTGGTGAATTGACTTCCATCATTAAAACATTCATTCATTGTCGATAATATCAAATTATTACACTAAAAAACAAAAGAGTGAACGCTTTCACATACTTTGAAGGCAACAGCTGAACTTTCACAGTCTGTGGCGCGAGAGCTGATGGGAAAAAGCGCGCGCATCATCTCACACTGTTTTACAGACAGAAAAACACCACCGAGTGTCAAATATCACGATTTACAGAGTTACAAACACCTATTTTCACGCAAGTGTCAGACTTTGGTGAGTCGCTGGCCTGTTCATGTTCACAGTCTCGAGCTAAACAAATCAAACCCACAAAATGAGGATGAGGTAGGCGGGGACGCCACTAATGTTTGTTGGGGGCAAACAGACTGTGCGAATAGCACACAGACCATCATTAACAAATATCTGCGAAAGCTTCTTCTGTCAGAGATTTGTTTTAGGTCATTTTGAGAGGGTCTCGCATCAGAACAACACCGGAGACGTGAATGGACACTCTGGACCTGCAGGACACGGCGGTTATTTTGCTCATTTGCAAAGATGTAATAACTCCCTCGACATTCCCACTGGTGCAGATGCTTTTATTTGCGACCATTTTATAGGTTTACAAACATAGAGCGCATTTAATTCGCTTTTTAACGCTCGTTCTGCAGCAGATTCAGTTAGCTGTGGCTAGCTAGCTTCCTAGCTGTTATATGTGCGTTTACAGACGCAATACGAACAAATCTGACAACAACTGACTGTAAACACGTAGTATTTCTGCCGTACGAGCGCATTCACTGTTGCCAGTGCACACGATTGTTGAATATTTTGTGTTCGAACTCCAATAGAAGCAATTGCGTAGCCTATCTTTATCCCTGCTAAATATGAGTTTATGTTGGAATACTCCTGGATCAAGGGGGTATGCTTGGGAATTCGCTGTAAACTCAAACTAGTAACCGACCTATGCAACGGGCCGGCTAAATGAAGCGGGAAGAGGTGAGGTCTGCATGCGAATGTTGCAGCGTTGCAATAGTTATAGAGAATTAAAGAGAAATTGCTACATTGTATCAAACTCACCCGAGACGATAGAGGTGCAGGCGGCGCGGGGTCTCCAGTACGGCCCTGCACGGGCTCCGCGTCAGGACCCAAGCACAGCTCTCACAAGCAGGAAACAGAGGCCTGAAACGATCGCCTGATTAACAAACCCCACCACACTGTTGTTTTTGCTGTTGATATTGCGGTATAATTACGCATGTTGTCCTTTTACATCGGCACAATATAATACTTTATTTTTGTATCAATTTCACTGCAACACTGAAATATATTGATTGCATTAAACGTAAATACATTATCTTGTTTCAAGGTTGTAAACATAGGCTATAGATTAGATAAGATGTAACGTTCAATGAGAATTAAATTTAACCTTAACTTGAACAACATTAAGATTACCATTTTAATTTAATATATCCAGTTTATATATATATACAATATTTTTTTACTTTGTTTTTACATGATTAAAACTGTTCATCTTCCTCCCCAAGAAACACACTTCCCACAACAGTTAGATGGGACTGTGTTGGAAGATGGCTCCCTCCACAATAACAAACAGGCAGTTGTCTGTACAGCTTCACCTTGGGTCCGGATGTTTTTATGACAAAGGAGTCTGTTTTGATGAAACACTGGCGGCTGTGATTGGCCCTGTTTGTTAAACATCACAAATAAGGGGTGGTGCGACCTCAAGCATTACAGTGGAGGGTTGGCTTCTTTGTAATAAAGGCTAAAATTAACCATTTGCCCCCTCACAAAAAAGGCATTTTTATGAAGTATGTATAAGGGGCGTGGTCTTCCATATTGTTTACCCCCATTGATTGGTCGCATTTGAAGTTGTGCTTGAATATTTCTTACATTAAAGGGTGTGGCTTGGACCTTTACGGGTGTCCCAGTGCTTGACTGCTGTGACAGAAATATCGCGATGAATAGATTTCATCCGCCACCCACTCCTTCCTCTTTGTCTCCTGTCAACTGCGCATGTCCCACAGTCAATAGAGACGTCTTCTATCAGCCATGACATAACCGATCGGAACAGTAGTATGTAACGCGATAATTCTCATGACATTATGTCGATAGGTTATTACAAATATTCAGTTGAGACGAACCTGTCTGCGCCCCTTCATCATTTCAGGTTCTAGTAATAAACTACTGCACTACCGCCGCTGCCTGCAGTGTCCAGCAGAGGGCGCACATGCATCACTTTATGACCCGCTCCAACTCCACTTTAAAGGGATAGTTCACCCCAAAATGAAGTTTTGTCATAATTTACTTACCCTCAAGCTGTTCCAAACCTGTATGAGTTTCTTTCTTCTGTTGAATACAAGAGAAGATATGTTGGTAACCAGACGGCGGCACCCATTGACTTCCATTGTAGAAAAAAAAAATACTATGAAAGTCTAGGGTGCAGTCAACTGTCTGGTTACCAACATTCTTTAAAATATCTGATTTTATGTTCAACGGAAGAAAGAAACTCATACAGGTTTGGAACTACTTAAGGGTGAGTAAATGATGACAGCGTTTTCATTTTTGGTGAACTATCCCTTTAACTGGGACCCAGGAATAGACTTTTGTCCTCTGTAGGGGACATTATATTTTAGTGATTTTCTCTGACACTGTATATGTCATATGTCATAGTTTTGTCCTGTAAAGAGCACATTCATGGCTTTTCAGAGATACCAAATGTTGGAGGTTTCACCATGACAACAACTTCTCTGTGGTATTTTAAAATGACTGACATTAATTTAGTGATCAAAATAGCACTCTTGTGGAAATATGACAATATTTTGAAGTTATCATTAAAATCTGACTAATTTTCAATTTGTTTGTCATAAATCAACATCTCAGGAAAATGTTATGGGGTTTCTAATCAATATATTACTTTCTGTTACGAAACAGGGCATTGATTTCACACATGTCCACTGTAGAGACATCAGGACTTAAAGCATGTTTATCAGGCATTTTGGGAGACACAATAAGTGAATATAGGAAAGAAATTATATATCAATATTCCTATGAAATATTAGATATTATTATGAAAATGTTGCCAATTATTACTCCCATTATTACACTTCTTTTTTCATTACATGCTGCCTCCAGAACACATTAATATGCATATTAGATACATTTTTACTAACATTGTATTGAATGACACTGCCCATTTATGGCCATTTTGCCCACATATTACATAAAGTAAAATGGTATATCAATTCATTCAGTTATATCTTTCATAACATAGTTAAGAATCATCTTAAAACAAAGTTTGGTTAAACAAAATCCTGAAACTTAAAATTTGATTGGTGAATAAAAAAACCTCCCATTGTTATACATCTTTTTTTTTTAAACAATCGAGTCCTGGTGTCCACTACAGAGGACATAGCATAACATATTAATAAAATATCTTTTTTCAAAAATGTCCCCCCATTTGTTTCTTATGCCCTAAACAATGTAATGACATTTAAAAAATACTACATTTAAAAAACTTTTTTCCCCCTGGGTCTGTGAGAGAAATTCACTAAAATATAATGTCCACTACAGAGGACACAAGTCTATTCCGGGTCCCAGGAGGATATAGTAAGTACATGTTGTTAATAATTATTATCACTCTGTAGCCTACTTAAGTGTATAATTAATTAAAATGTAACAAAGATTCCCTAAAATAAAGTGTCAGTTCTGTAATGTGATGCAGCCAGTTGGTGTAGACCTCAGTATAATGCTATTTACTTAATAGTTAAGGTTATCAGATTTTAAAGGGGAAAACTATGTATTTCTATAAATACTATCTATAATCTTCAAACAAACTGCTTTCACACCCTCTGAAATCCGCGTTTCCTGGTTTCCATGGTAGCACCAACATTCTTTACGACAGTGTACTGCCGTATTCTGACAGACCGGTGTCGTACGTTTTTGCAGAATCACCATGGCGTCTGTGTTGAAAGAGACTGCGGGGTTGTATGAAACGCTGAAAGCTGAGTGGAATAAAAAGAATCCAAATCTTAATAAATGTGGAGAGATCCTGAGCAAGTTAAAGGTACGCCCGATGATATGGAAGGGTAACATTACTCTTAAACTGCGGGAATGAGCTGTGGTTGTAGTGTGATGAGCAGTTAGCGCTAGTGCTGCTATCTAGAACGGTCTAGTCGATTTCCATTCAACTTACCGACAAACACGTTATGCTTGTGTTTTAGTTTATTTATGTGATAAAGTACTGTTGACATTTTTGTGAGCTGTAGTGTGGCTTTGGGTTTGTTCCACGCCAAAGTAGCAAGTTAGCTAGCAGACAGCGAATTCATACAGTAGTGAAACAAAATGACAGCGTTTGTGAACTGATAATTCATTTATATAATGTTTTTTATGTCCTTTACAAATTACATTTCCTCGGAAACCTTATTTTTTTAACGTTGTGAATAATCAAGAAAAATAAAGACCCTCAATTGATAGTTCTCAAGATTCCAACTATATTGTCATTCATTAATTCTATATCAACATAATCTCATATTATATGCCTGTCATGTATAATTTTAATTCTTCTCATTATGTTGTGGTGGATTATTTCTTCTTCTTATTATTATTATTTTGGTAGATATCCCTTTTGGAATTGAACTTTCTACCAACCTCTGGGACCAAACTAACCAAACAGCAACTTATCCTTGCCAGTGAGTATTTATGAAGGTTTTACGATTGTTTTTAGCTGAAATTATATATCTATTTTAATTGTTTCAGTCATTCATTCATATTTATTCTTTTCTTTTTTTTTTTTCATAGGAGATGTTTTGGAAATCGGAGCACTATGGAGCATCCTGAAGAAAGACATCCCCTCCTTTGAACGCTACATGGCTCAGCTTAAGTGTTATTACTTTGATTACAAGTAATGACATTTTTTGGTCTTACTTCTTCTATTTGCTCACTATCCCTTATTACTTACTTAAAGGAATAGTTCACCCAATAATGAAAATGATCCCATAATTTACTCACCCTCAAGCCATCCTAGGCGTATATTACTTTTTTCTTTCAATAAATGCCTTCTAAAGTGAAGCGATGGGTTTTAATAAGAAAAATATCCATCTAAAACTTTATAAACTATAATCACTGGCTTCCGGCAACGGCCGTGTGTTTATGAGTTGACTTCCGGTGGTCATCCGTCTGACCTCATGTATGACGTAGGCATAGCGTAAGCTTAGGTGAGATGGTGATTTATAGTTTATAAAGTTTTAGATATGGGTATTTTTCTTACAAAAACTCGTCGTTTTGCTTCAGAAGGCATTTATTAACTCACTGGAGTCATATGGATTACTTTAATGATGGATGAATGTGCTTTTTGGATCTTCAAAAGTTTGGGCACTGTTCAATGCCATTACAAAGTTGGGAAGAGCCAGATTATTATTTAATATAACTGCCACTGTTCAGCTGAAAGAAGAAAGTCATATACACCTAGGATTGCTTGAGGGTAAGCAAATTATAGGATCATTTAAATTTTTGGGTAAACTATTCCTTTAATATGTGCTGACAGCAGTCTTGCCTATATCCTGTATGTTGGCACCAAGTGTATGAAATGCCACATTTAAAAGGTAGATATTGTGGGCAACTCATCACATGTGTATATTGTAAATATTTATGTATACAATACATTACACATACAATGAACATGTACTGCCTTCTGTATTTCTTTCAAGAATAAATGGACATTCGGAACACAGTTTCAGCACGTTTTACCCTGAATTGTTTTGCTGGCTTTTTGTTTGCTCCTGTTACACTTTCCTCTCTTAAATGTCACAGGGAGGAGTTGCCCGAGTCATCCTACAGTCACCAGTTACTGGGTCTCAACTTGCTCTTCCTGCTCTCTCAGAACAGAGTGTCTGAGTTCCACACAGAGCTGGAGAGATTGAGTGCAAAAGACATCCAGACCAATGTCTACATCAGACACCCAGTTTCATTAGAGCAGGTGTGGGACACTTTTTACTCGTCACTTATACTGAATGCATTTGACAATGTCTGTTTTGTTTGTTTCCTACCTTTTTGCTTCTTCATTTCAGTATCTGATGGAAGGCAGTTACAACAAGGTCTTCCTTGCCAAAGGAAACATCCCTGCCGAGAGCTACAACTTCTTCATTGACATTCTTCTTGATACCATTCGGTAGGGGTATTCTTAGTCTTAATGGCTAAATATAGGTGATGAACCATGTTTTGGATTGTTTGGTCATTTAAATATGTTGTGTTTTGTTTGTAGAGATGAGATTGCAGGTTGTATAGAGAAAGCATATGAACAGATTCAGTTCAATGAGGCCACGCGGGTGCTTTTCTTTTCCTCTCCAAAAAAGATGACTGAATATGCGAAGAAAGTAAGTGTTCAATGTGTTTGAGTGAATTTTGTGCTGAGAATTAATTGTCATACAAATATTGGCAATTAACGATTTAATTCTGTTTGGTTTGTCACTTACATTAAGGGTGTGTTGACACTTGGCATGTTTGGTTCGATTAAAACAAACTATGGTGTGATCGCTCTGTTAGTGCGGTCCATTTGAACGTGTGAACTCTGCCATCTGAACCCTGGTGCGCACCTAACAAGCGGACTGAGACCCTAAAAAAAAGATGGGTCTCGGTCTGCTTCCAAACAAACTGGTGCGGTTCGAATGAAATATAAACGAATCACGGACCAAAGACAAGTAAACTACTCAAAAAATGGACAGAATGCTCTAGCATACCTGTTTTTCATAGTCACGATGTTGCCCATCACAAGTTCGGTACACGTTTGTGTGTGACCTGCTGCTATTTTGACTTCGTTACACATTTTTTAAGCTCTTCACGAGTTCTCAACTGGTCAAAATACTAACATATGTAGGCTATGCACATGCAACAAGTGCATTTAGCCCTGAACACAGCATTGTTTTGGATGTTTGGAAGTTATATACGTCACAAAATATACGTAATAAAAGCAGACCAATCAGGTTATGAATATAACCCTACGTATTTTGGTTCGGTATCTTTAAGTTGGATGTTAAAAATGCCAATGTGAACGCTAATTTGACCAGAACTAAATGTTTTGGGGTTTTTTTTTTTGGTCTGGACCAAGCGAATCGAACTACATGCGTTATATTTTACTTGGAATTGTATATAATATAATAATAAAAATTATTATAAAACAGGCCCATATTATTTACTTTAATGCTTTGAAAATTAATAATATTTAACATTTATTTATCAATTATTTGTAATATAAAACCCACAAATCCTTATTTCTTGTGAAGGAGGACATATCTGTACTTTATAACAGTTTGTTTTATATTCTTTACTCCCTGGATTATGTTCCCCGTTCACACTGCCAGCGGCTTTTTTTTTAAAATTTTTTATTTTTTATATAAAACTAAGATATCATTATTTGACTAGGAATTAGACTTAAAATAATTAAAAGTAGCATTCTGCTTTGGATAGTGTTCCAGCGTTGCTCAGTGCGTTAAGTAGTTAATAAGTCATTAACTAGATTAACGATTGATCAATCAACAAATTAAAATCACTCATACTGTTGGGTCTACAAATGGACTAATCATAAAATTATTATATTTTCTTGTCCCTAATAATCAACAGAATGCAAGAGAATCTGTCAAATGAACCGCAGCGGTGATAAACTGTTCATTTATATAGTGATTCTTTCCCAAGCATCATTTTATTATATCAATGTATGTGGTTACAGTCAAATCATATAAAACAGTGAAATCGCTCCGGAACTGTCATCATGTCTTTCCTGTGTCGTGACAAATCGGGTCCTCCCTCGTAATAGGGTCTCCCCAAACTGTCAGTAAACTGTCAAACTGACTCCCGTCGCTTGACATACCAAAGCCACACCCGTCGCCAGCGCTCCATTGAAAATAAATGGGATCATATTGCTTTGTTGCTAGCGGTGCTTGACTCCACTATCATGTATATAATAGAAAAAATGTTAAGCACTTTCATTTGACTTTTTTTTTTCACAGAAGTATGCATATTAGATCAAATAACCGCGATCAGAGGATTAATCAATAATCGCACATACTCGTCATACTTGTTAATCTTAATGTTATTTGATGAATGGATATTAATATACTTTTTGTGCTCTGCAGAGAGGATGGACCCAGAGTCCTGATGGATACTACTCATTCAGTACCCAGCACCAAAAGACAGAGGAAGTGAACATCCCCTCCACAGAACTGGCCCAACAAGTCATCGAGTATGCAAGGCAGCTGGAAATGATTGTGTAGTGTGGATCTGGCAGCATTTAGACACATGTATACATAAAGGTTCACATTTGTTTATCCATTGTACAGTAGCCCTATATCTGTACTCAGTTCAGACACCGGATGACACAGCCGCTAATAATGGCTCTCAGAGGATGAGACCAGAACGCTTTGACCTACACTTCAATATCAATATCTACCGGTGTCCGGATCTCTCTGTATGATTGTCTGGTGGGTGTGTCATCTGTTTTCAGGAACCCTCTTGCATTTCTTATCTAATGACTGGATCTCAAAAGGTGTTTTTTTGGGGGGGGAGGGGGGATAAACATTTAATCTGTCCTATTTTGAATATTCACATGTTGTTCTTCTCAGCAAGGTTTGATGGTTTTTATCAAGAGTGAGTTTGCTTGAGATGGATGTTGTCAGCAGCAGCTAAACTTCAGTGCTTATTCATTGTTGCCCTAGGAGTGTTCATTGAATTATTATACTCTTTTGCCCTTGCCTTGTATCCTAGCAACAGCGTGATGATTGCAGTTAAAAGTTTGCAGATGTTTTGTAATTGGGTTTTTTTTGTCCTGTAATGGGATGATCCCTCTCCTAAATTGTCACGAGGCATTGACGATTCTGATAAATAAAATGTTTTTTTTTTTGTGACTCTTTTATAAAATGTCTTCTGAAGCACTGTATGAGTAGCATGTTATCATTTATATTGTGCTAGTTAGATACAGGAACTACTGTGAAATATGTTAGTGTATTTGTCTCAAGTGTAAAAAACTATATCAGAGGTAAGTAGGTTTTCTAAATCAAAAATATATTAGGCTTGACAACCAACGTTAAGATGCACTTTAACATGCATACGATGTTGTATATATATGAAGGGTCCTTCAGGATGTGCTTATGTTTGTTTCATTCTCTATTTTCAGTTTCATTCTGTTTTGCCTTGCGGGCTTGTGTTTTTATTGGCCTTTTTCTAAGAATTGAAGGACTACGGTGGAGCATAGTTGAGTATCGAGATTGGCACAGTCATTAGGTGGTTCTCAAGATGAATGGTCCATGGATTCATAGTGGTATCAAACCGAAGGATCGCCATCGCCACATTGACTTTTCCAATAGAAATCATCACTGGTGCCTGAAGGCCAAGTGGAGTTGTGCTGCATGTGAGACTATCAGATTTATTTATCTAGAGTATTACTGCTTTTCTTTTTAATTAAAGGTGCTTCTCCCAGTGTGGACAACCACAGTGGCGGATTCTAGATGATGTGGCATTGGTGTGGGTCAGTATTGTAAGTGTCTGCAGTGGTTGTGTACTCTGTGGTCTTGCCTATCGTCCTTCATGCTGATTTTCCACTTCTCGTGAGGGAGGAACATCAGCCAGTTTAGATCCTACAGTTGAGGGCAGAGGCAGCAGAGTGTTTTTGGTGTCGGATCCCCGGGGCCTGAGCTTTCACAATCTTTCTCTACTGTCGTGCAGGGGTGATTGCTGGGAAGCTTCTTTTGCCAATAAGAAGAAGCCTCTTGTTTTATTCAATTCTATAAAAGAAAACCAGGAGATATTTAATGCAAAAACTAATATCTGGGTAATATTTAACCAGACTCTTAAAAATAAAGGTTCTTTATTGGCATTGATGGTTGAAGAACTTTTAACATTCATGGAAACTTTCCATTCCATAAAAGGTTCTTTATAGTGGAAAATAATTCTTCGATTTTTTTTAAACGTTCTTCACTCCAAGAAAACTGGTTATTTTAAGAACTGAACGGTTCTTTGGAGAACCCAACATGTTTTTTCTTGGCTTCCCTGTGGAAACCCCCTTTTGAAACCTTAATATTGTTAGGATTCTTTTTTTTTTTCGTGGCATTGTCATGATAGTTGAGCAAACTGAATACACTTGTATTAAAATAATTGAAATTGTTCATTTTGCATTGCATTTCAAGACACAAGAACAAAAGACAGAGCATAGTCAATTTGAGGAAAGTCAGTTATATTTTTGATTTCTTGATATTTTTGTGCCTTTATTTTCACCCTCTCGAGTTTGCTGCGGTCTGTCGCATGTTTTCTTGCACTTCAGCAGGTTCATTGGCTTTACGTGGAGCTGGACTGGTGCCCAAGCTGGTGTCTTTTTGGTTGTAGACGCAATTTCCCTCAGCGTTTCAGGTACAATGTGTGCTGTCTAATAAAAGATCTGCCCCTGTTAGCACAGACTTTAACCTTTCCTCTCTTGGATCCTGTTGAGGGCCTTTCTCTCTGGAAGGTTTTAATTTAACAACATGTTATTGTGAATGCAGCAGCCGACATGTTGGTTTGGGCAACTCTATATCATACTGTTCATGAGACTGTAGGTATCTTAGAGGAGAATGGGGTCAGTTGTCACATGGGTTATGTATGTCCCAGAAACTAAGGTTTTGATTATTTTTCTAGCAATAGTTTTGTATAAAAGTTCAAACATCTCCACTTTCGTAAATATCAAACCATATTCTGTTTTGGCTAAACAATTACAACATACAAAACCAATGTTGGAGTTTTATAAGATAAAGCATTTGTCTTCGGGACTGGAATATTATCACATTATTTTATAAATTCCATAAATTATAAACCTAATCTAAAGGTTTATATCCAGCTCATTTTATTTAAATTTTTTCTGTGATTTTGTCCAACAGAAAAATAATCTATTGTCCACTGTTTTTGTAATTGTGTAAACTCAGATTTAGGATATGTAAAATTCTATTAGATGGAAAACTGATATTATATTCAAGATGATTAATTTTGACAAATGTATTATTCCAATGAAAATAAAATTAAAGTTATTTTTCTTGAACAACTTTATATATAAACTTAAGAAGAAATGTTCAGGGTCCTAAAGAATGTTCAGGGTCAAGCTAAATTTCACAGATTTTTTTTCTTCCAGGAGACCATGGACTGCAGCCCCTTTTTGTAGAACATTGTCAATTAAAAGCAACGAGAACTTGTAATTTTGTTAGACTTTTTAAATAATGAATGAATGTTATGTACACTAGCATGTGTGAATGTGTAACTTTTTGTATTGTTCTAATAAATTAAAAAGGAACAGCTGTTACAGAAGAATAATATAATATAAGACTAATTGAACAAGTAAAAGAAATACATTTTTGTCAGTAATATGACAGTATGACGTTTGCCACGTTTGAACGAATGATGAAACAAAAACATCCAATCTAGAAATTCTAAATATTCACTAGGCTATTAAAGATTCCATATTGCGTTTTCCGTTGTTCTTTTGACTGTTTTTTTTTTACGGTCACATATTTGAATTAAACCGCGCAATTAAATTCGCGCGCAAACATTCATTGTTCAATTGATGACTTTTAATATTTGTATTATTTAAGCTTTATCGTGCTGTAGCTTAATGTAGGCCTACTTTCCCCAAATTATTGAAAGGGAGCGTTTTTTGAGTAATAAAGGCTCGACGCTGGCGTGGCTGTTTATCAATGGTGGGCTATCAGTGAACATGAATGGGGAGTTGGAGATGAATGGAGACTGGCTGCTGTGATTCTGTCATGGCGTATAGAGCTGAATGAGAGCTGTCCAAGGTGCTGAGGCTCTGCACTATATTAACTGAGTTTGTGCACTATATTAACTGAGTTTGTGCACTATTCACAATGTTACTATTAATAAAAATAAAAAATCTCTTTCTAACATTAATAGTCACTCTCTTTTCAGATTTAACAATGGTGATTGCTTGTGCACATGGACATTTTTAAAGCCATATCGCTCCAAATGTCATGACAGCTACAACACTGGACCGATGCAGCTCCCATTCGGGGACACTGTGTCCATCCACGAGTGTGTTTAATATGAGTGTGTGAGAACTGCTGTAGACAGGTAGAGAGAGAGAGAGAGAGAGAGAGAGAGAGAGAGAGAGAGAGAGAGAGAGAGAGAGAGAGAGAGAGAGAGAGAGAGAGAGAGAGAGAGAGAGAGAGAGAGAGAGAGAGAGAGAGAAACAGGGAGGGAGTGATTAAGAGAGAGAGAGAGAGAGAGAGAGAGAGAGAGAGAGAGAGAGAGAGAGAGAGAGAGAGAGAGAGAGAGAGAGAGAGAGAGAGAGAGAGAGAGAGAGCGAAGGAGGGAGGGAGCGAGAGAGGGAGGACGATGATGATGCTGCCGGTGGAAAATGGCTGCTGCATCCTTGAGCCCATCCGAAACCATATGAAGGTGGACAGAGAAAGACAAGAAAATGAGAGCAGCAGCGAGCACAAGGAGTGAGTGAAAGAGAGACTGTGTGTGCGTGCGTATGTGAGCGAGAGTGTGAGAACGCGCGCGCGTGCGCGCGTGTGTGTGTGTATGAGTGTGAGAACGCGCGCGCGCGAGTGTGTGTGTTCGGTAAGAAGGGGAATAAAAAAGACGAGAGACCGGGGGGCAGCCAGCTCGAAGCGGCGGGCAACACCGAGCCATGGAGGGCGAGTAAGTCCATGCATTTTTATTTGACCAGAACAGAGTGATTGATTTGCAGCACCTCTAATGGACTGTAAGATGCTCACGCGAGACCATCTGATGTTAGATGCTCATAAACACTATTACGCAGCTATGGCTATCAACACTGTACACCATATTCTCCATATACATCCAACATTTGATGAATAACGCCAATGAATGGGCCTTATCTGAAGTGCACTGTATAAAACGCCTTCAATGCCGCGAATAGGGTGCAGTAAGAGACGGCTTTTTGTCTCGAGGATGATGTGTGAGGAGGCTCCACGTATAACCACCAAATACATCCATGAATTATAAAACGTGTCGTTAAAAAATCGACGAATTATGGCGAGTTTTCTGGCGTCGGGAACACATTGGCGGGATGGAGGCGCGGAGGGATGCTTTTATCAACGCGTCTCGAGTTTCATTATGATTTTTAAAGCCAAACTTTATGAATGAAATGTGATTTTTCTCTCACCCCCCTCCTCCTCTTCATGTCTCCCCCTCCCCCCAGCGCTTCTCTTCTTCTTCTTCTTCTTGTCCACATCCTCCTTTCACCCACTCATCTGCCCATTGAATTCGCTGTGCTGTAGCATATATGTAGTTTTATTCATTCATAAAACAGCGGGATGAACGAATGA